CATTCGTTCAATAAATGTTCTAACACCGTTGCACACTGATACATCGTATATTACACATATATACATATATCGTCGTCATCATCATCATAATCATCAACATCACCGACAGTAATATACTTAAAAATGAACGCAAAACTATGATCAAACGCATCATAATTCAATATAACTGCAGGTGGAATATCGGATAATGAAGCACTAAAGTAACAACAATAAAAGGAACTAAAGCTACAAAGAAAAAAAAACACGACAATAACAATCTATCTTAATTAATAAAGAAAAATTCAACTGCCCATAAAAAAAAACCAGACACATACAACTAAACTTTTCAACTTTCTATCATCCTCAAATAAAAGGCTTTTTTTTCCAGACAAATATCAATAAAAACAGCAGCAAAAAAGTTCCCATCTGTGATTGGAAGTTCCCGATAACTGATTTAGAAGCTTTTTAATATCATTCGTCACTTCAAACAACAAAATTTCGCACCAACGCCACAAGAAAATGAACATAAGAATGAAACGATATAACTTAACAATTACATCTTCCTAATCTAATAATTCACGTCAAAATCATTAATCTCAAAACCTGAACTCTTCTTATGAAGTTCACCAGCAGATGCTCTTTTTTTTTTCTCACCATTTTCTTCTTTTCTCAAATCCTCAATTCATTCCTTTGACACTTTTAACTGTCTAATCACATCAGCAACTAACTTCTTCCTCTCATGCTGGCGTCTGAGGAATCCAAATCGATGTAAAGCATACGTTACTGGGAACAATGATCTAGTAACTGTAGTATGCAGTAATATTTCCCAACTTCTTTTCTCCGCTTTTTCATTGAAAACACAGGTTTAGCTACCAATAAAAATATCAGTTCTATAATCTGTTTGCTTTCTAACTTCTTTAATTTCCCTTCTATTTTCACTTCAACAGATGAAATAACAATTACAACTGCAGTTCCATCCTTTTGCCCCCATCATTAAAATGGCTAACTTCTAACGGCAAACAATTTAATGTGCTTAACTAAATTAACAAGTTAGGAGTTCAGGTACAATTAAAAGATCAAAAAATCTAGAAAGAAAAAAAAAAAAAAAAAA